TCATCAACTGGCCTTTTCTTATCACCTACACCCAATCTACCAATTCTCTGTTACCCTTAACCTAGCCCAGCTCTGGCCATTGGCTACTTCCCATCCTTGATCCTATCTAGACCCCATTCTCAACCTACTGGCCACCCTCATCAAGATACCGTTTTCCCAGACCCTCTCCTCCAGTCACCCCAAATAACTAGGCCACTCCTAGATCCCTCCTAGTCTTTCTGTATATAAGGTCCATCTTGTCTCCATTAATGGGCTCAGATTCTTATAATCTAGCCAATAGCTCACAAATGTTCAGATTCCTTAAGAGTCTGGCCAATATGGTGGATCTTTAATAAACCTTGTCTTTGACTGAAAGATGGTTTGGGTCGAATTCATTCGGGCAGGACCTGGTGTTGCTATTTTGGGGTCCCAGCACCCCTAAACCTCAACATATGGTTCCATAAACCTCAATACCACTTTCTGTAAGAAGTCTTTCCCTATGAGATTATCTCCAATTTACCCTGTCTCTAGGTTGCTTGTGGTCTCCCCATTAGAATGTGAGCGCCTTCAGAGCAAGGATTGTCTTTTTCCTTTGTTTGTATCCCCAGTAGGGTGCCAGGCACACAGTAGGTGCTTAATCAATGTTTACTGACTGGCTACTATCAGAAAGGTTTTAGGGGGTTGGGCTTCCACAGCAGGATAAGAAATTCCAAGATCTTGTGGACAGTCCCTCAACCAATCAGAAAGTACAGCAAACAGCTAGTTCCTTAAGAAAGATCCATGGAGGCTAAACTGGTTCTAGGACTGGGCTTTGACCGGGGCAAAGAGTTTTCTCCACTGTGCTTGCTTAGTAAACTTATTGAATATGAAGGGCAGAGATAGCCACCATTTTTGAACATGGGACCCATGAAGTTGGCAGTTACCAGACCATGGATGAACTTGCAATGGGCTGTCCAGGAAGGGTGCAGCTCAGATGAACTAGACCAATCTTAGCCCTGATGGGTGGAATATGGATCTTATTAAAGGTTTAAAAGTTGATTCTACGCTATTTATTAGAGAAATGCAAATCAAAACAACTCAGAGATACCCCATCACACCTATCAGAATGGCCAACGTGACAAAACAGGAAAATGATAAATGTTGGAGAAGATGGGGGAAAATTGGAACACTAATACATTGTTGGTGGAGTTGTGAAATGATCCAACCATTTTGGAGAGCAATTTGGAACTATGCCCAAAGAGCTATAAAAAGTGCATACCCTTTGACTCAGCAATAGCACTT